TCTGTAGTTAATAATCTAAAAGTAACTTATTATTAAGTCTATTTTTATAACTCAAACCTAAATAAAAGGCATAAAAGCCCAGGAAGGAATTTCATTACACTTACTACAATTTGGTACGATAAAGAATTAATTATTTTATTATTTTATAATTTATAGTATTTGACATAGGAGAGTTCACTATAATTCTTAGTATGAATTTTGGAGTGAATCTTGGAGTGCCATATTTTACAAAATACTTCACTAATAGTAACCAATGATGTATATGAGATGTCTATGAGATGACTGTAACATGACACAGTAGTATGATTATCTTTATATAGGCAGTGTTAATAATAGTTTGTTATTTTATTCAAAATAAATAATTCATTATTTCACATTTACTGCTCATGTGAAAAAAAAACTACTTTATAGTTTATAGTGACAGCGCTTAAACATAAATAAAATAAAGCTAATGTTAATTCAAAACCTGTCTAACCTCAAAGTGTTAGCTCTAAAAGGTCTGAATAGTTAACCGTGTCTATCCTCTATGTGATAGCTGTAACGGTTTAAAGCCTGCAGTGATTTATTCCGAGTCATAGACCATCTTAATGTTTTCCTTCAAGTGGTAATGCTTTCAATTCAAATCTGTCTAACCTCAAAGTGTTAGCTCAAGATTTGAATAGTCAACTGTGTCTATCCTCTATGTGATAGCTCTAACAGTTTAAAGCCTGCAGTGATTTCTTCCGAGCCGTAGTCCATCTTAATGTCTTCCTTCAAGTGATATTGCGTTCAATTCAAACCTGTCTAACCTCAAAGTGTTAGCTCTAAGGTCTATCCTTATGTGATAGCTCTAACGGTTTAAAGCCTGAAGTGATCTCTTCTGAGTCCTAGCCCATCTTAATATCTTTCCACTAATGATAGCATCTTATATGTGAATTAAGACCTGTCTACCTTCTAAGTCAAAGCGGTAAGGTCTGAATAGTTAACCATGTCTATCCTCATAAATGACAGCTCTAATGCATAGCATTTTAATAACTTATGCTAGATATTCTCTCAACAATTTTAAGTTTACAGTAATTACTTCTGCCGCTCTGCACCGCTTAATATCTACCAGTAGTATTTTTCGTTCTTATTTTATTATATATAAACATAAATCCATGTATATATTATAAGTGACAGTTCTAACGGTCTGTATATAGCATCTATATAACTCCTGTTAGATATTTTTCCCAGCAGTTTTAATTCAATAGTGCTTTTGCATCCCTATCTCCTCAGTATTATACTTTTCCTATTTCTTCAATACTGTCCGAAACTACGAGCATATCAAAAGTGGCAAGTCTTGCCCAACTTTCAAATCATTGATATGTTGTTATATTTTGCTACCTTGATGTCCGGTGATCATGTGGGGGTTCTCTTACGTTGACAATTTTTGGACTTCTTTTGCCAAACCCTTATGAGACTTTCTAGTACTTTTACATCTATAATTTGTAACAAGTTTTTCATTATGTTATACTCATAATATTGAGCCCTTTGTAATAAAAACTATACCATTAATTATCTTTATTTGATTGCTTCTAAATCTCAGTACCGCAAAATATTTTCTCATGTGAAGAAAAAAACAAAAACCTATGGTTTTTTGACTCATCGACATTAAGAGGAAATACATAAAAGAAGAATTGTCCCCCAATCTAATATAACTGCCATGGTTTCTCATGCCTACAGAAACCCATTGGTGATTCTGAGTATCAGGTACGCGACCCTCATCGACACACTCCCAATCTTTACAACGTTGTTGACGAGAGACTTGTGGACGATAAGTCCGACACCTTCTTGGGACAGATGGTCGCCCTCCCGGTGATAGAACAAGTTGCCGGACTCGAGGATTACCGTGTCCTCCCCCTCTCTTCGGACCTCAGATAATCCAATAATATGCCAGCGCAACTTGTCTACCTCTTCTTCCAGCTCCAGTATCTTCTCGTCAGTCCTCAGGGTGCGTGCGTTATACGTTGCCAGGTCGAGTCGTCGTAGGTGGCAACCGAACCTCCACCGGAGATTCTTAGCACCCCCTGCCCCGCCGTTACCATGGTCGCCACTGTAGCCAGGAATAGCGGGGCCGCCGGGGACTGGGGGCCGTTTATTTGTGTCGTTGCTCATGGGGGGATATTTGCCATAGTTGCCACGCTTGGCGATCGGGTTGGCAACCGCAGTTTTTTATTATGTTATTGTTTTTATTAGGAATATGCTGCTGCCCATCTCCTGCCTGTCTCCCTCTGTCGCCTCTTACGACACCCACGGGAAGATATGGGGTAGTGGATATTCTCAACCGCCACTACACGGCGTACATAACATTATATATACATAATTATATATAATGAGGTTTTAAGCACAACATTATTAACCTCATTTTACTAATAGCAACCAAAAAAGGTTACGCACATGTTATTTTTATCTAGTCACTATTTATATCAGTATTTTTACATAATTCCCTCTTACTACAACAATTTATTTTGTTGCTAACATATTTTGGCAATCAGTGTATGCATCTAGTCAGTATAACTCTATCGTGCTTTTACCATACCTAGTTTTAGTTATGAAGGTGATAATAATAACATGATAGGTATGAATTGATACCATACTTAATTTTACTGAATAAATCCATCTTTATTTTATTTTTTAATTATTACTTCACATATTACTTATTTTTAACTTGTCATAACTTTTTAATAGCTTACAATAGAAAATTATTTCCTATAATTATTTTTAAATTCCTTTTTAATTGTTTAATTTACCACTTTTTTAATTAGTGAAGTATGTAAGTTTTATATTTTCCCAGAGTGATATTTTATGTACCGCTCTAGGCCATTAATGCATTTGCAACTCATCATTCTATTTAAAACCTAGTGATGCTAAAAACTTCTTTATTTATTGTAACTTAGGTTATATTAAATTACATAATACAGCTCGAATGCAATAATGTGCCAATGTTTAATTTCAATTAATTAATCATGGTCTAGATTTTTATTTAATTGCCAGCAGAAATTTCTCTATATTATTTTCTCGTCTTATCGTATTAATTGTTAGATAACAATTATTAATATTATATTATATTCGTTTTACTATATCAATAATAATAATTTATTGTGTACCTTCTTTACTGAGTTTTTTAATTATATTTTGTAAATTTTTTAAAATTGACAATAATCTAAGTCATGAAACATTTTACAGGCTATCTGTTGTCTTTTTATTATTATTTTAATAATTTAACAAATTTTTTGTAATTCAATCTGATGCTTACAATACTATTTTTGTTTTGCATATCTGTCAAATCTGGTTTTATTCGCAATGTGTGGAGCCAAATATATCACAAGGGATATAATTTGAATAAATAGGTTTGGTTCAATCTTTCAGATTTTTCTTAACAGCCTAAATGCTTATCTTTTACTCACTTTTTGCTTACTTATATTTTAAGTGTATTTAACTTGTAACCTCTTGATATTCCATATCAAGGTAAAACAGTTCACATTTTTTCTTAATTTCATGTCATATTATCCATCCATCCATTGCAGTCTATAAAAGTCCACACCTGCACATAGGCCTACCAACACCAAAAGGCCTGATAGAGGGGTGTCATATTATGTAGCTTTTTATTTTTTTTATGTGTCTACAAAATAATATGTAATAATATACTGTCTTTAGATTTAAAAATGCATCTATTAAATCCCATTTATTTGGGAATTAACAATTTTAAGGACTAGCTCTCCCTTACACACCGGATAATTTTGTCCCAGAATTCAGTTATTATTTGTAACTTGTTCTGCCAATTTTTTGTGGACGTTAAAGGTTTACATGACCTTAATAAACCCATGAGTTAAGTTTATTTAAAGCACTCATTTCTTTTCATAATCAGGATTTTCTGATACTGAAGAAAGTTTAGTTGTAATCTCAGGGTATACAACTAAATCTCAGGGTGTATAATTTCCGGGTCTGCTGCCCCAATTTTCTGACTGATAATAGCGACTGCCCAACGTAAGTAAATGAAAGTAAGAAAAACATTAATATATATCACTTAAAATTTCTCAACGTATCTCTGTACAATGTATCTCAACCCACATTTATAGGTTAAAATACCTATTTACTATTTCATATTATATGAGTGACGAGGTTATGTTATTAACCCTTAATAGTGAATTTGTTCGATAATTTATCATACTTGTTAATAAATGGGCACAGTGAATCTGATTTTATTATTTAATAAATGTTTTAACTTTATTTATTTTATATACACGTGCACGTACCTCGAACAACAGGATTTTTGTTTACCTTTGATCGGTTGGTGGCTCCATTTTGAATATCTTCCTTTCCCAAGTACATAATCAAATTATTACCACGCAGATACGTAATAAATTTATTTGTAGTAGGTTTTGGATACAGAATATTTGATTTTATACTAAACATATTTAATTTTTACAACAAAAATTATAAAAACACACCGTGATGGCTGGCACAAAAAACGTAATAAAGTTGCATTGACGGACGGGTTGATACAGTGTTGCTAGATACACTGCTTTAAATTTTTTTTAGCTAGTTTGGATAAATTGTGATGCTGGCATGGAATGCGGCGTGCTACAATTGTTAAGAATGTCTAGGACAAGGAGAGAGTATAAACGATACTTCGACTGATCTACTAGTGAGATAGAGAAAATTTCTTATAGTTATTTTGGTTTATAATTTTGTTATTGTTTATAAAATTATTTTAGAAAGATATATATATATATATATATATATATATATATATATATATATATATATATATATAGTAAAATGTATAGGTAGAAAGTATAGAAATAAAGTCAGTGTCAAACCAACTGGCGTGCGTTTTATTACATTATGCCAAGCGGAACCACTCATCTTGCAGCCATATCACTCTGAAGTGTAGCTATCTAGTAAACTTTCTGATTGAACCAGCGACTGTTTGTAACATTTAATAAAATTTGTATTTCTTTTTATTTCTATCAAAGCTAATGGCAGCATATGTATTATTGCAGGCCTTGCTGCAAGCGCACGACGTGGTGGCGCGCGAGGTGTACGGCGAGGAGTCGATGCGCGCGTCGCCGCCGCCGGTCAACGGCCGGGCGCCTCAGCCGCCCGCCGATGAAGACGAAGACACCGAGCCCGAGTTTGAAAACGTGACCAGGGTGCGCCTCGTGCAGTTCCAGAAGAATACCGACGAACCGATGGTGAGACGATTGACGTAACGACCATCACGTAATAATACGAGTATGGAGTGTGGAAGTAAGGAGTACCAACTCCCATAGTAGAATAGTTGAAAAAGTGTCCATCTGTAAGCAGTAAATAACAGTTCAAAAACTCTCCACAACAGCGCTGGAGTAGCTACTGGGATGAATGAACTTAGCAGTTGTCGACGGTTTGCAGTGTGCTGCTAAACTGCTCAGTAGCTCTAAAATCTAAAATAATTTGATTTAATAAATATAACCTCGAAAAATTCGTCTATCCCACTAATATTTTTGGCACGTTCTTTAAAATTTAGTCCGTAGCTATAGTGGCGCCACCTTTATTTAACAGTTTTCTATGGACACTTTTTAATACACAGTCTGTACTCCTTACTTCTACACTCCATAAATGCGAGATGTGATAGACGTTAATGAAAGACCGTAGTTGATCCGAGCCTTACTAGCCCTTTGCAATATTTTGCACACGGATGCTCACACTTCCTTCCCCCTAAGTTCTCCACCTATAATGACGGCTAGACTTAAAATAAAATGCACACCGCAGCTGTATGTACGAAACATTATATCTGTGAATACACTTGTGATATCACGACGAATTATTAAGTGTTCGTGAAATCGTGTAGTGCGGTTTAACCAGTTAATAATAGTTCCTATGCCGATTGGTATCATACTACCGTTTTGCCTACTATTATCTTTTTGTATTCCCTAAATATTATTTCCTTCATTTTAATATCTATAACACACGTAAGCAACAAAATTAGAAAACTATGGCGCTAAGTCTTGGCAGAGTAGGATTGTACAGTGTCAGACTCCATGTCCATCTTCATATTTGTTTCCCTGTCTTGCCTCTCCCGCCTCTTACGACACCCACGCTATGCCACGACGTACTGGTAGTGGATATACTTACACCGCGACTACACAATCCCTAATGTAAACGTTTCTTCTTTATCACCTTCTTATTCATCAGCCCGTAAAAGTTCACCGTAAGGCATGGGTATCTGCGGTTGAAGAGAGAATTTTGGATAATATTCCCGCGGTAAGCACAATGAGGATAGCAGGAATTATGCAGGTGCGAGTATGACACTGTACAATCCTACGATTATAACCGTAGCATTGTACAGTGTCAGACTTAGCGGCATTGTTTTCTAGTTATTTTGCTTACATATGTTATAGATATGAAAATGAAGGAAACAAGCGTTATATCGGCCATGGGCAGATTAATTCAGGTGTCTCGTACAGTTGTGACCACAGACTATAGGTATAGACAGACAAGTATAAAATTGTGTTGAGGCACTAATATCGCACTGGTCGAAAATCGGCTAACCGAACTTAAATGTTGTTGAAATAATTCAAAATTAGATCCAAAAATTACCAAAATTTAATAATGAGCCCTTTTGGAAATTCTTTACTTAAGCTAATATTATGTCGAATCATTTCGACGATTTAGTAGGGATAGGTCGAAATTAGTTTTACATTCGGTTTAACGGAATTTCGGCGGTTTGAACCGAACTTCGGTATTCAGACGAAGTTCGTTTTAAATGTCAAACATTCGATACAAGAAAAAAGAAAAATACCTGAATTATTTTGACTAATATTAATAGAAATCAAATCTGTCATAGCTGTAAAATAAGATAAATTCCTTATATGCTCTATAATCATGGTCACTTATTTGTTAATTATTAATGACTATCATTATCATTTTGTTAGTTTGTTACATATAAATCTGTTTTCTTTAATAAAATACAAGATTGAATTAAATGAGCTCTTCTTAAGAATTATTATTATGAAATAAAGAATTCTTTAAGCAAAACATCATTAACTAATTATACATTTAATTTCCAAAGAAATCACTTTCTAATTTCTATGAAAGATAAAAATGTAATTAAAAGAGTGTTGTTTTAAGTACCAGTTGTAAAAAAAGGTTCAATTGATGGGATGAAAGGATGAATTTATCTTATTTTTATCAACTGGGTGTCATACTTACTTTATTTATAATCACATCTCTGTCACCATTAGGCTGTAATCGGTCTTCAGCTAGAAATAATAATGTTCTAAGTTAGCCAGACGGATTTGTCCTAATTCCTAACTTCGCTATTGGTTGTTGTATCGTATATTGGAAAAGGTTATATAATCCGTCTGACGAGGGATGCGAGATATTTTTTGGTATTACCTTTAATGGACTTTTACGACACCTTCGGGACAAGATGAGTTGATGAATCCACATACGCAGCTAACACTGGTGGTCTAATTTGAGAACCAATGAAATGTATAGCCCGCTTTGTATTTCGCACTACTGTAAGGCCTTTACACGATTCGATCAATAACGATATTTACGACTAATCGCAGTTATAACATAAAACTTCGACATATTCTTTATTCCTACGACCGTCATCATATTTTTTAAACACTTACAAGGCTATTACATTACCTATTAATATAACTTACTTCAACCGCTTCTGGTACGCTTAAAATGCTATGTTAGGAGTGGTTCACGTCAGTAGTCGAATAGCGAATTAGAACCCACGACCTTTTGTGTTTGCGGTCTGCACCCTGGCATCAGAGTACTGTCGCTTCACGTTGTTTGTCCGCGATGGGCTCATAAATTACTTAACCGATTTTAATCAAATTTGCACACTGTGTTCAGTTTGGCCCAACTTAAGAGATAGAATAGTTTTTTGCCCATGGGTGACCCACAATTTTTTTTGCAAATTTAAGGATTTTTAATAGGACATAACAAAGGGACGTCGAAAAGGGCAGAACAACGTCTGCCTGGCAAGCTAGTATATATATATATATATATATATATAAATAATAAGATAAGTAACTGATGGTAATAACCAATAGACATATACATCTATCCTCGTTTATTAATCAAAATGCAGATGCACTGTCACTCGTTGACACAGGACTAAGATGGAATGCCTCGTTTCCAGCAAAAAGGGTCCCTGGTTCTCTACACTCACCACACAAAACAGAACAGTTAGCTGTAGTTTTTAATGGAAAAGCGCACTGTCCTAGCTTAACAAAAGCACAAACACGCTTGCTTTAAACTTTGAACTACGCTATCTTCTAGGCTAGGCTTCTCTAATCTTGTAGTTAATTCAGTTATGTTAGTGGTAAAAGAAACACCTTATTTAAATTTACTAATAAGATTTGCTCACAATTATGAAATTGGTCTATCGAATCGATTTCACCTTGTTTTTTCATTTGTCAAAGTATTTACTTGCTCATATTATATCAAATTTTAACAATTTTCAGAAGGATTCAACCAAAAAAATATTCCTTACCGAGCTTAAATTTAAATTTAGAGCTGATCGGATCTCACGTACTAGTAAGCGGGATCCATTCGATGTTATGTTTATTTCAGGGTATAACGCTGAAGCTCGCCGATGATGGTCGGTGCATCGTGGCGCGGATTATGCACGGAGGTATGATACATAGGCAGGCCACCTTGCACGTTGGGGACGAAATTAAGGAAATCAATGGAACGCCTGTTGCCAATCAGTCGGTTGCTCAACTACAAAGAATGCTGGTAAGTTTGATTAAAAATAATCTTGCAATAAATCTCTTTGCTGCTTAAACTGTAGTGCATCTTATTCCTCTTTATCCGCGCGTTATAATTTACTACTGATCATGGGCCTTCTATCATTGTAATATCGCCATGCTTGGCAAGTGGACTTACGAATATTGTGCAAAATATTTCGCAATTTTGACGCAGCTCCGAAGGCATTTACGAGAGTATAACCGCTATCTATTGGCGGACGGTGAATTTACTTTAGCTATTGTTTTAAATTATTCAATTATTTGTTTCCGTGGTTGTTTAGGGTCTAAGCGCTCGATGTAAATTCACACCTGATTCGAACACTTTTTCACAGTATAGCATGCTGTGAAGTAGGGTTCGGTCCCCGAATAAGCATTTATTTGTCTTGTAAAAATGACTCTATATAATAGAACATAGGAGGCCCATACTGAAACCGTATTACTTACTGACGCAGAATAAAAGAGTTAGCTCTACCGAGGAAATAAATCGTTGGCACATAATGCTTGTATGTTTTTTATAGTGAGGGGTGAAATCCAAACCCCATTTTACTACTAACATGAAATTTGATCGTAGGCCGGTATTCAGAGACCATCTCGAATTTAAGCCCAAACTTCCTAATATCAAAATCTGTATAACATCGTATAGTCTAAACTCATATTGTGGCATTGTTGTGTTATTAATCTCAAGATTGCCTATGAATCCCGGCATTAGGGTTAGACGAATTGTTTGCAATTTGACTTTGAGTAGAGGATAGATGTAGCCTACGTCCAGCATAGGACTTTGATAGAGCGTGATGATAATGATGAAAGTTAACCAGTTTAGAAATCCAAACCTATATTTAAATATTCGTGTTTTAGTTAGGCATAAATTTTACTGTGCTAATGAAATAAATTGTTAACGCTAACAAACTTGAAAACATTTCAGCGTGAGGCCCGCGGCTCCGTGACATTTAAATATTCGTGTTTTAGTTAGGCATAAATTTTACTGTGCTAATGAAATAATTTGTTAACGCTAACAAACTTGAAAACATTTCAGCGTGAGGCCCGCGGCTCCGTGACATTTAAATATTCGTGTTTTAGTTGGGCATAAATTTTACTGTGCTAATGAAATAATTTGTTAACGCTAACAAACTTGAAAACATTTCAGCGTGAGGCCCGCGGCTCCGTGACATTTAAATATTCGTGTTTTAGTTGGGCATAAATTTTACTGTGCTAATGAAATAAATTGTTAACGCTAACAAACTTAAAAACATTTCAGCGTGAGGCCCGCGGCTCCGTGACATTTAAATATTCGTGTTTTAGTTAGGCATAAATTTTACTGTGCTAATGAAATAATTTGTTAACGCTAACAAACTTAAAAACATTTCAGCGTGAGGCCCGCGGCTCCGTGACATTTAAATATTCGTGTTTTAGTTAGGCATAAATTTTACTGTGCTAATGAAATAATTTGTTAACGCTAACAAACTTAAAAACATTTCAGCGTGAGGCCCGCGGCTCCGTGACATTTAAATATTCGTGTTTTAGTTGGGCATAAATTTTACTGTGCTAATGAAATAAATTGTTAACGCTAACAAACTTAAAAACATTTCAGCGTGAGGCCCGCGGCTCCGTGACATTTAAATATTCGTGTTTTAGTTAGTCATAAATTTTACTGTGTTAATGAAATAAATTGTTAACGCTAACAAACTTAAAAACATTTCAGCGTGAGGCCCGCGGCTCCGTGACATTTAAATATTCGTGTTTTAGTTAGGCATAAATTTTACTGTGCTAATGAAATAAATTGTTAACGCTAACAAACTTAAAAACATTTCAGCGTGAGGCCCGCGGCTCCGTGACATTTAAATATTCGTGTTTTAGTTAGGCATAAATTTTACTGTGATAATGAAATAAATTGTTAACGCTAACAAACTTAAAAACATTTCAGCGTGAGGCCCGCGGCTCCGTGACATTTAAATATTCGTGTTTTAGTTAGGCATAAATTTTACTGTGCTAATGAAATAATTTGTTTACGCTAACAAACTTAAAAACATTTCAGCGTGAGGCTCGCGGCTCCGTGACATTTAAGATCGTACCGTCGTACCGATCCGCACCGCCACCCTGCGAGGTAAATTATATTTTTGTTCTTTTGCTTAATAACCTATTTGAATCCCCTAGAGCTGTGTGTTAACTGAATGCTTACTTTTTGCATCGAAAATTCGTAAAATTGAAGCAGTTTTGACAATGCTAACAATAGTAACAAATATTAACGTATGGGTTTATTTGAGTGTTCGAAATAGAAGTGTGATAATAAAGCTTGCTTCTAACAAATGTCCGATAAAAATTAAAGCGTAGCCAATATAAAGAGTCGACAAGCGCACATAAATACACAACTGCTCAATGCTTGTCCTGAAGCATAAAAACAAATTGGTGATAATAAAAGTCAAATAAAATTTTTATTTTTCCTCCCTAACTAGCTATTCCGGATAAAGCCTTCGCCCGTGCTAGTAAGTAGCTGAAACCAGAGCAGTCGCTACTTTATGTTATTTTATGTTCGTCATAAATGTTATGTTATGTTGTGTTGTTTATTGTCATCACCCGGGCATGGCTGCGCGTCCCCAGAGGTCCTTCGTTTCTGTGCGCTTGTTGTTCTTATCACTGCATCATTATTCATCACTGTTCAATTTTTAATTAAATTTACATTGATTTTACTGTACCCGGCGATAAATATTGCACATCGACCTTTGAAAAGAGACAATCGGCTAATTTCGGCTTCGTAGAGCGTTATCTCTGTCGCACACTACCTATATGACGTTTTGACGTTCGACCTAATAGATACCGGACTGTTTGTATTTCGTGCGACAGAGATAACTGTCACAAAATTAGCCGATTGTCTCTTTCCAAATGTGCAATATTTATCGGCGGGTACTGTATTTGTTTACGTTTTTTCAAGGTATACAAATACATGCTATGCTTATGGTCGTAATTAGTAATCATAACCATCGTGCATGCCACTACTGCCATTACATATTGATTTAATTCATCTTTGGAATATGTTGTTTGTTTCTGCTTGGTACACGGTAGTCGTAGACTATCGGGTATATTTTTAATTCAATTTAGTTGGTAAAGCTATTGCTAATTTCTGACTTTAATAATTCATTCATTACATTTTATAAACAAACCATAACGCCGTACATGAGAAATTAAAAAACAGGTCCTAACATTAAAAATGTTTCAGATATTCGTAAGAGCACAATTTGATTACGATCCCTTAGAAGACGACTTGATTCCATGCGCTCAAGCTGGTATAGCTTTCAACATCGGCGACATACTTCAGGTACGTTCTCTCTTATTTTTGAGAGCTAATATTATTAAAAACTAAACCAACTTATATTATCATCGGAACTCGCTGAAATATATAATATGTTGGAATCCTCTAGAATGTAACTAATTTGGAGATATCGTGTTGCTACTTACATTCGTTAAAAAACAAGATACTGGCGAATAGAAATTGACTTGACTATTGAATGAATTTAAGAATAACCACCGTAGTCTCGTTATTATTGGAGACTTGAGGCTTTTACTTTAATTATTTTTTACAGTTACTCTTACACCGCCACAATTATCATCGTCATCAGACCTTACATAATCCATTAATGCAATTAGTCCTAAAGTTCATGCCTGGTGGGCAGATTGGCCGTCGCAACGACAATCGTCTCGTACCTTTGACTCACCTGTCCACCGTTACCTGTCTGAGTAATGCCGGCCGGCTGGAGGCACACGCCTCACAGTGGAGTGGAGTGGAGTATATCTTAATATATATAAATTACGTGTCACGTTGTTTGTCCGCGATGGACTCCTAAACTACTCAACCGATTTTAATCAAATTTGCACACCGTGTGCAGTTTGGTCCAACTTGAGAGATAGGATAGTTTTTTGCCCATTAACCCTACAGTGGGCGCGCCTTTTCATGGAACGTAAGTGGGCGCGTGTATACCATTTTGCCGCTCTTAGAAAAGCTAAAATATTACATATTAAATGTTTAAATTTACTATAAATGAGAAAAGGTTAGCCTTAAATAAAACATAAGCTTTTAGAATAATTATAACTTTTTAATTCAGTCTCATAAATCAGTCTCAAAAAAATCAACTTAAAGTTATTCTCAAAAAAATGTAACAAAATATGGAACGACTTCACATAATCTCTATATAATAAGCAAAACCGTAAAAAATTAGAGAAAAAAAACTTATTAAGCATCTTGGCCGTATTCCCCGTCAAAACAACCCTCACACAGGTAAACACAGTGCTCGTTGCACAGTAATTTAGCACATACTTTGCACCCTTTTTTTGTTCGTCGATTTTTTCTCGTAGGACATATTGAGCATATTCCCTCTCGCTTTTCATGGCTTTCTTGGTTCTCCATTGGTACAAATCGAGCGATTTGTCTTTTTAGTGAACTCGGGAATGTCATTATGCTAGATCTTTTCATTAAATGTGGCCTGACCAGGGCGAGGGATATCTCTTTTAGGTACATTCTACGCAGTAAGACAGTTTTAGTGTTTGCTGTGTAAATAATTTTACTATTTATCCCGCCAATATTCAAAATTGAAAAGAATAATCTCATTGGCCACCTCCGAGTTATTCTGCCCACAGAGTATTCTTCTTTCATCTGGTCAACAGTATCCACTCCACCCTTAGTACCGTTATAAAACGTGATTACTTCGGGCTTCGCATCACCACCGATTGATTCATCTATCTTATAGTCATCATGCAATGTTGACAAAAGTAGAACGACTTTTTTTAGGTTTCTTGTTAGGAACATAGGATACAAGCACTTTTTTTTCATTGAAACCAAACATTGTACTTGGGGTAGCTCTTTCTTTCGTATTGAGGAACTGCAGCGGAATTTCTTTTTTATTTTTTTCTCAAAGTACCTACAATAGTTGTACGGTAAGAGTGCACAAGTTGATTAGGAAGTGGAATGGATGTGAAATAATTGTCCATTGTAAGGTTTCGGCCTGTGTTCAAAATATTTTTGACCAATCTCATCACCAGAGATGTAGGACTATTGTCAACAGAAAAGCTTCCTTCTGGTTGCTTACCTGCATAAACTTCCAAATTACTGGTATAATAGGACTTTGAATCAACGAGAGCGTTTATTTTTATGCCGTACTTAGCTGGTTTATTTGCCATGTAAACACGAAACTTGCATCGTCCTCTAAATGACTCCAACATCTCATCAATAGTACCATTTTCTCCAATCTCATAATAAGCTAAACAGTTACGTACAAAAGATTCAAAAATATCTCTCATTGCCGCCATGTTATCTAGCTTGACCCGCTCCGTTCTAGTATGAATGTCGTCAAAACGAATGTTCCTCATCAAAAAGTAAAACCTCTTGATTGACATGGTTGCTTTGAATATATCAGGGGAAGTACCATCATCATTCCACATTTCGTGAATATTCACATGATGCATTTTTTTCAAGCCTGCCATCAAAAGAAGACCTATCAAAGCTTCTATTTCTAATATATCAGTTTCTTTAGTATCTCCTTCTCGTAAAAACTTGTGCTGGTTAGCACGTATGCGGATGTTAGTAAAAGAAACTATACCTTCTAGCATTTGTTGAGTAATGAAAAGGCGGAAGCAATCTAATGGCGTCTTTGAATTTTTAGCATTTTCTCCACGCACTCCAGGAGGATTCGTAACTATATTTTCAGCTCTTGTTCGTATGAAAGGTCTTGAAGGAGGACTTTTTAACCATTTTGTTCCATCTTTACCTTTGTACACAGGCACTCTTGGAGGACGATTTGTAGTAGGTTCAATGAAATTTCTCTCAGTTTGAAATGTTCGAATTGATCTTACTCGTATGTGAGCCAAAGGTTCATCGCTCGATGAATATGAAGATGTTGATGAAGATCTAAATGACAAACGTTCACGATGTTGACGTGCACTGCGAGATGGTCTCCGGGAGGTGACAGGAGAACGGCTGCGACTCCTAGGAATCGTTGTCAATTGATTGAAACTAGTCGATGGCCGATGATCGACTAAATTGAGTCGATGGAAACATGTCTCCGATGACATCATTTCATCTCCTGACTGCTCGGTATCAATCACTATTATGTTCCAAATTTTCACTGTCCCGATCGCTTTCAGACATACTTTCGTCGAAACATTGTGCACCGGTCTCTTCTAAATCAGACTCCTCTAACCACGAACAAATTTGCGCGTCTTGCTTATTCATTTTGCTGAAATGAAAAGCTGAAAAGATATAAAACAATACCTCAGAATAAAAAAATAACTCTAAATTTCATAAAATTATGCTACACGAGTACATAAATAAACAAAACCATGTAGTACTTACCAAAAAATAAATGTCATTTGGCCAAAAATAAATATGTTACAACGTTAAATTTTAACTACGTCAGTGGGCGCGCACTTAGCAATTTGCCGCGTCGCAGGACTAGTGCACAACAACTTCGTCCTCCTGTGGTTGGCTGCGCACTGATTGTTTCGTAAATACAAGGGGGGGGGGGGGTGCGGGAGGAGTGTACACGCAGCTACTGAGACGCTTGACCTTCAATAACTAACGGTTTAAATATTATTAACATTTTTTTACAAAGTGCGGCAAAATGCTCATAGCGCGCCCACTCTAGGGTTAATGAAACACAAATTTTTTTTGCGAATTTAAGGAATTTTAATTGGACATGACAAAGGGGTCGTCGAAAAGAGCAGAACAACGTCTGCCTGGCAAGCTAGTATATATATATATATATATATATATATATATATATATATATATATATATAATATATATATATATAATATATATATATATATATATATATATAAATAGAGGTACTCTCGCAAGATGGCGTCAATTTAGTTTTCATATCGAAATACATAATAATCAGCTCCGTCTTTTTTCGTAGTGCTGCCACAAAATTAATATAGTTATATTCGGCCACATGTGTGTCACGCCGGAATTGGAAGCAAAAAAGGTTTCTCAAAAAAAAATTGCAGATATAAATATGAAATTTCAAAGAGATCTTTAGTGTGATAGTACCATTAAAATCCAAGTTCTTGGAGCCTTAATTATTAAGTAATTGTCTAAACACAACTTATCAGCGATCACATTAGACTAACTCCGCAGCAGGCGTGCTAGTATCCAGCATAATATCCGTCGTTGCTCGTTGTCTTCTCTAGTTGCTAGGTTTAATAGGTGGTAGGACTTCAATTTTGCGTCTGAGTGTGCCTGGGTAGATGAGAGTGTAGTCTCTTGATTATTTCTGCCACCAAATAGCATTGCTTGCACTGCTGTGTTCAAGTCTGAAGGGTCTGTAAGGTCTGGAGGATAAAGAGAGCTACAGGCTCTGAGACATTCCATCTTAATCCTCAGCCGTGTCACCGCACCTGTCACCTTCTTTGTTTGAATTTAGCTTTGGGTGTCCATTGACTGCAGTAACCACTTCGATCGTGTAAGCTCGTTTGACACTTCAGTTTTGTAAAATATCAGGTGATGAACGATAATCTTGGTTGTTCAGCAGCTGTAATTACCGCCGCCTTATATATCTTCAGAGCATCTAGGTGTTCTACAATTATAAGGCATTTTATCTTCTTTCTCGAAGGTGACGACCACAGAAATCGTAATAATACAAAGACAATAGAAGTGGCATAGACATTGACCTTGTCGCCGCTATGACGTGTTGACGAACATCATTCACCATTTTGTGATTTAGTTGCACGGGGAACGTCGTACGTGAATTTATGTTATTATAATGGTGTACAGAAGCATAATAAGTAGTAAAAACTCATCAAGGACGTGTAATTCAACTAATAAAAGCATTACGTTTCATCGGTAAGATGATTATTTACTAATTATCATTTTCTTAACTAATTTTACATCTAGATGAATACTTTACTGTGATATTGACCTTTGTAAACATTCATTTATTACTTTTCGTAGTGTACAATTATCATTGCTGCTTTTGTTCTACCATAATATGCGACGCACGCGACGTTGACAAACTCGCCAAGCAATGTAATGCGAAACATTAGATATCATTCTAAAATGCGTATGTTTATAATACGGCTGCAGGCATCGGTCGCTTAATGCGTATGAATTAAAATGTGGCGACATCGGTTTTGGAAGTAATCGAGCGCTAATTCATTTCTATTGTCTTATTATTACTATTTCTGTGGTGACTACGCATCCATTGTTCCCTTGTTGAAAGTTGGCTGCAGGTGTCCATGGCTCGCAGATGTGTAGTCAGTTAATTTTGATAGACATGTATGAGATAGGTCTATTTCTTAATCTAATCTCACAGACGAGCCGTAACTTTGCGTTCTTAAAATCTGTTTACGATGAGAAACAAAGTTATTCATATAGATCAACCTATCATGTGTTCAATAGATAATCAGCAAGGACGACTCGCACTGGTGGCAGGCGCGCAAGGACGCGGCGGGCGGGTCGGCCGGGCTCGTGCCCAGCCCCGAGCTGCAGGAGTGGCGCGCCGCGTGTGCCGCAGCCGAACGATCCAACACCGACCAAGGTACGTTCCACCTCCTGCGTGCTTGTGCCGCTCTAGTACTTGTTGTTTTTGATTGGAAGGAATGTTTGTGAATGAAATTTAAAAAATGTGTTTTAGGGAATGTGTGTGTAATTTTTATTTTTACAAGAATGTATGAATTTATATTCACTCATTTTGGCGGACAGAAAAAAAATGAAAAATAGCGGGAAAGTGTTTTCTTCCTTTTTATTGTTCTATTTCTTAATGTCCCATATGTATTCATATTAAAACCAGCCAGATACAAACAGTACAACCAAATAGATTTTTATCTTTAATTATATACAAACAAAATACGAAGAAACTTTTTCTCCCACCTATTACTACCGTAGCTTCGGATTTCCCCTATGACTGTTATTGAAATTAATAACTATCTACATAACGCTTTTTATAATAATGAATCAACGTTTTTGTACGTCTACGTAAAGTAAAAGATTTTATATGGCTTGTTAAGATTCGTAAGCTTATGTTACATCGTTAAATAACTTATTGATGTATAAGCGTGTTGCCTATAGCGTTAATAGTTAAGTTCTGTGCTGTGATAGATATTTCAGTTTTTTATTTTGCACAAGAGATAAAATTTATTTGCCGTTTCAAAATGATTCATCACACTTTAAGGCTCCATTTACTAAACTTATGTTAAGATTTTTCACGCATAAGACGCTACGAGGGCGGCACTGAAAATTTCGGGAATCAAGGAAGTGACAACATTACTATTTAAAAATGTATTTATTGCTTTTTAAGTATTCTCCGCGAAATTTGACACATTTTCCCATACGATGGAACCAATCATTGAAGCAACCATTCCATTCGGAAGTTGGGGTCCACTTCTTCTTCAGGTAATGAAAATCTCTGTCCGCGCAATTTATTCTTTATTTTAGGGAAAGTATAGAAATCATTAGGGCTTAGGTCGGGGCTGTACGGCGGATGGTCTAATAATTCTATGTTTTCTTGCTCTAAAAACTCTTTTGTTCTGTGTGCGGTGTGAGAACTCGCATTGTCGTGATGGAGGATGATGCGGCGGTTGCAGTTCTCTTTACGGAGTTCAGAAAGGACCTGTGGCAAACAAATAAATATCTAGCATACCATTCTGTATTAACCGTTCTTTGTCCCTCAAGAGGAATAGTCGTAACATGGCCAATTTTGGAGACAAACGTGGCCACCATTTTTTTTTGCAACACTCCGTGAACGAACAATTTTTGTTGGATTTAACTCATTTTCGAACACCCAAACTCGTGACTGGTTTTTTGTTTCGGGTTCGTACGCGTATATCCAGGATTCGTCACCTGATACGATGTTGTATACAGCATTTGAGGATCCTGCGTGGAATCTTTCGAGAGTTCTGACGCACCAAGTAACGCGAGCCGCTTTTTGCTCATCACAGAGCGTTGTTTTGATTATGCCAATGTCTAAAGTTGCCTGAATTTCGCGGTATGTCACATGTCGATCTTCCTCAATCAGCTTACGCACAGCATCAACGTTTTCTTGATTGACTGCAGTTTTTGGACGACCTTGACGGGGATCATCACTGAGCTTGACACGTCCACGTTGAAATTCAGCAAACCAGCGATAAATTGGGGCTTCATCACCAAATGCAGAAATCATCCGGTCAACACACTGTTTTTGTGTTAAACCACTTCGAAAGTCATAATAAATCATCGCTCTTGAATTTTCTCGAGTCAATTCCATTTTCTCAACGACTAAACAAGTTTGACAAAATCTTGTGACAAGACTGAGATCTTTTTTAAATAAATAAATGGTATTCGATTTTTAAAACCAAGGAATTTTCAATTAAAAAGATTTTAATATGAAAATATTCCATTCCCGATACTTTTAGTGCAGCCTAGGTAGTGTTTAAAAAAGATTATATAACAGCCAACATTATTTTATTATTTTATTTCTTACGTGATTTAGCGTTATTAGATAAATAATTCGATCGTTATATGTAAAGTAATTCTAGCATATTTTATCTGTTGCATTGATTTATGCATCATTTTTCTTTGTCTCATTAATATTGCGTGTTTTGATTTCAAACATCATTGGACCTGCAGTCGGTATGTAACCTTGCTTTATATATTATATCAACAATAAAAACTCCTCTGTTTTTATAATAATTTTTGTAATCAATCGAAATATATAACCATTCCCTTGTACTGCATGATTATATTTCAAAGTTATTCCCAGTAAATTCGAATTTTTCGAATCAAATTCGACAAAAACGTTTCTATTGACTAATAATATGATAAAATTATTTCTTTGATAAATAAAGTGTATATTGCAGTGGCAAATAAATGCAAGTACCCGGTTGACCGAGCTTTGCTCGTTATTTTTCGCTCGGTTTTTTTTAATTCGTGTGTTTTGGAAATTATATTTAGATACAAATTACATACTGATGAAATACGAGTAATATTTTTTGATCGTAGCGACATAATAGAAAAAAACTGAACTGGTTATTTGAATAAAAAATCGTGAGTGCAATTAGTTTAATTTAAATTTTCGTGTTTTTAAAAAATACTAAAAAAAAGGGCGCGAAAAAAATAGACTTTCTCAAAAAAAGAAAGGAACTTGAAAAAAAAATTAAAAAAAGTCGGTCGGTCGGTCTGGGCTAGAACCATGGTATTACGATTTTGTGACCGCCCAATGTATCATTAATCTATTTGGTACAATCGTTAATAACTGTCAAAATTTACCTTCTTATTCTAACGATAATTGTAGCAGTTTTTCATTGCCTAAAAACACGGACAAAAAGACATTTTCTAAAAATAAATCCTAGCTAGATCGATTTATTGCCCCCGAAACTCCCTGCACACAAAATTTTATGAAATTATATACAAGAATTGCTCGTTTAAAGGTATGGGATTTAATGCAATTTAACTGTATTTGATTACAAAAAACAATATAAAAAATATGAAGGTTCTATAACTCCCTTAATATTATTTGCCAGTTCTTGTTCATGGGGGAAATGCATAGACAAAATTTCCTATTCATGTTCTGATGTTTTTAACGTATTCATTATTGATTAATACAAGCCACTACAATTAAATTAACCACTGTAATATATCTTTGCAAAATTATTTGTTTAAAATCTTTATTAAGTTAAAAAATTATACTCAAATTATTGTCCTTTTTTTTTCAAAATTTATCAATGTGTGATCCCACCAATTCGTTGCGTGTCAACCTTATCGTATTGAAGTAGCGACCGCCGCCCATACAGTGTGTCATATCCATTGCATTTGCATGATCCGTGTTGTAATGTTGTGCGGCTAGGAACTGAGGGCTGCGTGTCACACACCGACGGCTGCGACAATACAGGTAAATACTGGCTATAACCGTAAAATTATAACATTTGGTTTTTAGCTTCGTAGTGTTTACACCACACGTTTTATGTGTCATCTCAAAAGAAAGGTCTTTTAGTAAGACTCCAACGTGTGGGATTTCAGATTACGTTAGTGTAAATTTAGACTGATTTTGTATTACATTATTGGAGCCGATTCCAAGAAATATATTCTGTATCTGAATAAAAATAAAATGTTGTATAAATATGATGTACACAAGCCACTCGGAAAGCTTTACGAAACTAAAAAAAAATTCTATGGTTAAAGTTTATTAAGTTTAGTTTAGTTTTTTTTATTATTATATCTTATCTAAGAACTATGTATCAGCATCTAAGTTCCATATGTCTGATCTAATTTTCGAAACAATTTTTCCAATTTGCCTCTTGAAAACTGAATTTTTTTAGGTGATTTTATGTTTTAGGGACGAAAAGGAAACTAGAGAGCAAAGTCTTTCTTGCGCTTCTCGAAATCAACTTTAGTAGGCGCTGGTACGTTTAACAGCCACATCGTCGACCGGCGCTTTGCTTCTGGATCGAATTGATAATTTTTACTTAAAACATTACTTTAAATATGCCGAGACGAACGTGCCCAAATTCAGTAAACATGTAATGGCACTATTTTACTCGGGTCCGCTTTTAGGCATCGGTAATTTTGTGCAGCACCGAACACGAAACTATCCGCCTCATACGAAGGTGTTCACGTGAAATCTCGTTAACGCTTCATCCATTCTGCTATATTGGCTTAATCTCAAATCTTAATTCGCCTATTCTCTTTCATTTTCCTTCTATACGAGCCGTCAATGAGTGGCGACTTTTTTCTTCATCTCCCAAAGTTAGTTGATCGTGCTGAAACTTGTTATATAAGTATATTTTAGAAGGGCCTCTATCCATAAATGTCATTTAAAGTATTCAGTCAACATTTGGAATCATAAATAATTATCGCGCGAAAATGTTATTGTGTTTACGTGGTAGAGCCACGCTGCAGCTATATTATGGTTGTAGCACGAGTGGGTCGACTCGACCGGGGAAGGACCACGATCTCACAGAATACCAGCGTAAAATAGCAGCTTAATACTGCTGTGTTTCGTATGGTGAGTGTAGAGATCCGGAGACTCATTTTTTATAGGAAACGAGGCATTCCATCTTAGTTCTCAGGGGTGACAACGCATCTGTGTTTTGATTCTTAATCGAGTATAAATATAGATGTGTATGGAATACAGCGTCCACTTACCATCAGATGGACTGTGTGCTCGTTTGTCACCCTTATTCTATAAAAAAATGTTTCCGGCGCATATCCATTTTCAGTGAAACACGATATTTCCTTGATATTCCAATTTCCGATTCGTATTTTACTTGTACATAATTGGGTTTCAAAATAAATCATAAGTGGCCAATGTCGCATACAGAAATCCTTTTTTTTCGCCAAACTTTCTACGTGGCCTGTGCGTAGCCTACTCTATGTTAACAAACGTAAATTACGTCTGTTGGAATTAGTCGTTCAAATTTAGAACTATATTCGTATTGGAAGCATTTCATAGCATCTATTATTTATCTTAATACCATTGAGTTATTATGTAATACGTACTAGAGGTGACACTGCATTCAGCTACTCTGTTCCATTCAACTGCGGTGCTTACACCGCACTTTGATCAGTCACTCCCTAGGTGCTTGTAGAGTTGTCACCTATTTGTGTTGATTTAAAAAAAATCTCTTGATAAAAATATGCCGTCGTGTGTACTTAGATATTGCACAAATAATTTAGTAAATGTCAGTAAAAACCAAGGAATTACTTTTCATCTGTTAGTAAGATACTTAACAATAAAAAGTATTGTATATTAAATAATAAAACAAATTATTCCTAAGACGCTATCACGTGTCATGGAATATAGATTATGAAATTAATTTGTTCAGATGCGACATTAGGGTACTTAAGTATAGGACGAATATACACATTTTTTGTAGAAACATATATAAGTTATCATAATTAAGCTAAATTTTTATATTTAAATCTGCTCATTATTCTTTTATTTTATTTTTAGGTTTCCACATTAAAGTTCCACATTCCACAATAAATTCGTCCATTTTTAATTTTCGCGTGTCCAGCATTTATGAACGACTCCTATACTAATTTAAATAAATATATTTGCAATTTAAATGTTACATTAATAAGTTTTGTTAAACATACATTTAGTATGTTTTTTTAATATTTGACATATATACCTTTGGAAATATTGAGATAAAAATATCATTAAAATGTAATTGTGATATAATATTATGTAAAATGATATTAAATAAGCAAATATAATATACAAAATAAATGACAAAATTAAAAAATGTACTCGATATAATTTACCTATTTAACAATACAATCTACTATTACCTACTGATCATTTTATCTATATGTATAATCTATGATAAAAAACCAACCTCGCGAACACAGAGTAGCGCACATTTTTTGTTTGAAATAGCTGCTCTAGTACGTAAGTACATATTACTTCAATTTTTCCTATCCTATTTAATAACAATTTTGTGATTAAGTTTTTAACTTTTATTTGTGTTAAAAGCACGTCATATAGAAACAGACCGATAATATTTCAGCTTTTGTTTGTATTTTGCAAGCAGAAAGGCAAATTACGATTTTAATATAATTTTACCAAATATTTCGCGCTATAGGATTTGACGGAAAGGATTAGTTTTCATTTACTATTTCTATATTATTTTGAACAAAAAAATTTAAAAATAATACTTTCGTAAATTTTATTTAAAAATTCTGCACTTATTATACGCACATAGTATTACACGACTAGTATATTTAAGTTTATTTCCAAATTCAAATTGTAATAAATATTTTGGGTAGGTATGTCCTATATCATAAAACTCATGAAGTAATGCTTGTTGCAGTAAATTGTTCCATATTTGGACGCAAAAAGAAACAATCGAAGGACAAATATTTGGCGAAACACAATGCAGTTTTCGACCAACTCGACGTTGTCACTTACGAAGAAGTTGTTAAACTGCCTTGTAAGTACATTAGTGTGATATCAACTTCTAAGCACGAAAAAAAATTTTGTTTCGTTGTCTGTACTTATCATACAGTAACGTTCTATTATACTTTTACCTTTTCTAAAATCATCCTCATTTATCTCTTATAAGACTAGCAATTCATCCAGGCTTTATATGGGTGATTTCTGGAGCTCGATAACAGGTCACAACTATAGATAAGAACCGGCCAGGTGATACCATAAGTATCCCATAAAAATTCCATCGAAATCGATCAAGCTGCTTAAGAGGAGAAGAATTACGAACTATACGAACACACGCAACCGGAATTTTATAACATTAAGACTTTATTTAGTTTAAGAATTTAAGCTTGCATGAGAACTCAACTCAAAATATTGTGATAGTTGTAATAAAAACACTGAAGTTATAAAATGATACTCGCTTTTTAGGTAATTTCTAAAAATATAGGCACTTTTTTATTCCTGATGTTTCGGATGCTTTGTAGTACATCGGGAATTAAAAGATCAAAATTAAACGCCCTAAAATCCGTAAAATTAGTGTCGTTTAATGCGTAGCATTAGAGTATCAAATATAAGAAATCATAATATAGGCACTATAGTAGATTTTTCCCGTTTCAGCTTTTCAAAGGAAAACGATAGTTCTCCTCGGGGCGCACGGCGTTGGTCGACGTCACATCAAGAATACTCTGATAGCGCGCCATCCTGACCAGTATGCGTACCCAATACCGCGTAAGTTATTGCCTGGTCGATTGAATTTTATTTTTTTAAATTTTCATCATTTTTAAATGACAAAACAATAATCTAGTGGTCACATCGGTTACGCCATGGTTCAGTTTATGTTTCCATCGTGCTAAAAAAACTCAAACTTCCGAATGTCAAAATTTGTGTAACATAATAATGTTCTGAATTTTTTTTTAATTTGAGAACATATTATGAATATCTTTTAATTTTAAAATAGTGTTGCGTGCCACAGTTGATGTCTGGTACATGTCACTAACGCCGTCTTATTATCGAATAGAAGAACTAAGCTTTTTTATATAACTCCACACTCGAATTTTCTACATCTAGTCAGTCGGGACCGTTATTTGCTGAAACATTCTAGATGTTTCGGTGGAAAAGGCCTATATAAAGCCGTTTGGGTCGCGACCGGAGCAGTATTGAATTGGCGATAAAAGTGAGGACTTAGGAGTGAAATAAAGTGAACTAAACTAACGTGTTAATTGTGATTAATTACTGGTGTGTTTTAAGTTTTAATTACTGTCAGTAATTAAAGTTTCAATTTTGGTAATTCAATCGGCAGTTTTTACTGTCACGAAAAAGTGAACTCAAGTGTTAAGTGTGATTAATTGCTGGTGTGTTTTAAGTTTTAATTGCTGTCGGTAATTAAAGTGTCAATTTTGGTAATTCAAACGGCAGTTTTTACTGTCACGAACCCTAAACTCGTAACACTTGCTGTCAGAAGTGAGATAAAATCATGCCGATTTTACCAAAGGACGATACGGAGGGTGTCCGTACCCGAAGTCAACGCCAGCAGGAGATGGACCAGAGACGATTTGGTGGTGTAGCGCCACAGATGTCTGAGGGCCAGCCGCCGGCCACGGAGGCTGGCTCGTCAGCAGCTCCTGCGTCTGTAGCACCTGACTTAGGTGCTCTGACGTGATGTTGCAGGAGCCGGCTTGCCGACAGGAGGAACAGGCCCGCCGACAGGAGGAACAGGTTCATCGGCTGGAAGAGCAGCTGCAGCGCGGACAGGAGGAACAGGCCCTTCGGTTGGAAGAGCAGATGCTCCTCATGACAGACCTTCACGCTACCTTTGGGATAGAGATAAGGGAGGACAAGAGAGAGACAAGGACAGGGTTGCTCAACATAACAACCGCCTGTCGGAAGCTGAAACCCGAATCTAGGAAGCTCAAGCCCGAATCCGCCAAGTGAACAATTGGGTTGACAACGTGATGGCTGACGTGAAGAAAACGCTGAACGACCTCAAACTTGGGAATGGAATTACAGCTCCCGTAGTATCTATAACAACCTTCGCTACGTGGATTCAAAGTGCCGCCGTTTGACGGTACTTCTTCCTGGTTGGCCTACGAAATCCACTTCGATGCTGTCATGTAGGCGAACGGCTGGAATAAAAGTCACGCCACGACTGCACTCACCCTAGGCCTACGCGACCAAGCCTGAACTGTTTTGGAAGCTCTTGGTAAGAAAGTGACTTACGAGCAGCTCCTTGAGTCATTGAAGGCGAGATGTGAAGTTTTTTGTGCGCATCAGCTTATGTTTCCATCGTGCTAAAAGAACTCAAACTTCCGAATGTCAAAATTTGTGTAACATAATAGGGTCTAGACTCAAATTATTTATTTTTTATTTATTTCCGGTATTTGCTAAAACATTCTAGACGTTTCGGTCGAAAAGGCCTATATAAAGCCATTTGGGTCGCGACCGGAGCAGTATTAAATTGGCGATACAAGTGAGGAACTTAGGAGCGAAATAAAGTGAACTAAACTAAAGTCTTAAGTGTGGTTAATTACTAGTGTGTTTTAAGTTTTAATTGCTGTCGGTAATTGAAGTGTCAATTTTAGTAATTCAGTCGGCAGTTTTCATTGTCACGAACCCTAAGCTCGTAACAATATAAACGTTACGTTTGTTACGGGTAGTTTATTTATGTTTACCGTTACCGTTACTGCCTATTAAGTGCAATGGTGAACATAGACCTCCACCATAGATTGCCTCATAGGGGATATCTGCCTTAGTTGCCACGCCTGGCAAGCGAATTGGCAACCGCAGTTTTTTATTTTTAGCAGTTATTAAGAAGACGCTGCTGCCCATCTGATTTGTTTCCCTCTGTCGCCTCTTACGGCACCCACGGGATGATATGGGGTAGTGGGATATCCTTACATCGCCACTACACGATATTTTTTAGGTTTACTTGATGGTAATGGCAACGCTATGGACCGTAGACTGATCATTATTTCTTTGATTTTGTCAAAGGATTATTCTGGGCTTGGCGCTTAACGATTATACACGGTACTAAATATAAACCTGAAGGGGCTAAATTGGCATCGCTGAGAAGGGTCGTATATGATAAATCACCTTTTTCCCAAATGCAAACGTCAACTGCACTGCTGATATACCAATGCAAAGTAATACTTATAATACGAGAGTATCGGCTCTATGGGCAAATGTTTCTAGTTATGCTTAATACTAGCAGGCACATTCTTGGAAAAAAAAAGCCCAACTATGGAAATAAAAATGATGTTGATGTGTGATATAAATTCATCTCTGAAAGATAAATTTGGCATTTTGTATATTGTCGGACAACATGTTAAATAGAGTTCTTGAAATTTTCAGATACTACCCGACCTCCGAGACCTGACGAAGAAAATGGAAGACACTACTACTTCGTGTCGCACGAGGAAATGATGGCTGACATTGCTGCCAATGAGTATTTGGAATACGGTAAGTTGATTAATATTCATTTTTACTTGTACTGGTAATGGTGTGTTTCCTTTTATTTTATTTTTTTTAACAATAACTTGCGCTTGCTTTTGGTAATTAGCAGCGTGTGTCACGTCATATTATAGTGCTGTCACTGAGTACATAAACAAATACACTCTCTTGCTGTCACTGTAAGATATCCTATTAATACTTTATTATAGGTAGGGAAGAGGGGTTTATTACGAGAAAAACAGTTTATATTCAACTAAAACCTTTCGCCATAAAGATATTTACAAAACTAATTTAATATACTGGCAACAATGTAGGTTATTATCTGTTTGAATAAGTGAGTCATATTAATATGTTATAGAAATTTCATTGCGAATTCGATTGAACTTTCTACGTTGTAAGTCAAAATGCTAAATTATATAATATGATAGAAATTTGATATTATAGTGTTATTCATACTGTTATATGAAATAGTATAAGGGTGTTAGGTTAGGCGAATCTTTTCGTTTTGTTGGATAAATACTTGGGTCCTTCAACTCCTTGTTGCTTTTGTTCTGTCGTATCTTACAAGTTCGATTGCATCTAAGAGGAATAGGGGAAAGAGTCCTGAGAAAGGGACGCTTTGGATGTATGCAAAAGAATGCTCGTGACTCTGTCAATATTGGGCAAAGATGGAACACTATAGACCGTCTTCGCCCCTGCGATGTGGGTTTTCTTGGTCCTCGATAAAACTAGCAGAAAAACGTTGCCGTGTTTTTCCTTGAAAATCAAAACCAAACGTCAAAGTCAAACTTGCGAGGTGTTTATTGTCCGAAAGAGTTCCAAGTTTTGGCTCAGGCTGTGGTAGAACTGTTCGGTAATAATTTAAATAACGTAAACTATACTTCGTTTTTTGTTACAGGTACACATGAAGACGCAATGTACGGTACGAAACTTGAAACGATCCGGCGTATCCACGCGGAACGACGTGTCGCAATACTCGACGTGGAACCGCAGGCGCTCAAAGTTTTACGCTCGGCGGAGTTCGCACCTTACGTCGTGTTCGTGGCCGCGCCGCCACTCAATAACGTAGCCGACGTGAGTATAAAACGTGCATATAGTGGTAGTATCTGACCGTTAAAACTGCTTCACAAGCCCAATGTTTAGAACAGTGAAAAAAATTGGTCGACCCAGCAGGCCGTTCCTAAAACTTTCCGCTAATTTCAAATGCAAAGCGCTCAAAATTTCACCAAATTATGTTGCGAAATCTTGAAGTTATGTTAAAAAACGTTTGTTTCAAATTCTTTCTTTTTAGGTATTTCATGAACGAATTTACCGATTTTTATTTTACAAACGGCATTCGACGTCATTTTTTAAGGTTAAGAGCTGACTAGTTTTTGAAATCGATCGGTAAAGCCGTTTAAAAATTAACACACACACATATATGTGTGTGTGTTAACTTTGATGAGAATTTTAAAATGCGTAAAAAATCTAACTTTAATGTTATGTTACTTACACAATCAAAACGAATCTAAAGACACTATTAATCTAATTAGTCTACAGAGCGTACCAAAGTAGTATGCATAAATATACTTATAAACGTATACATACATAACCTCGAAAAACATAACCTTCCTTCAGGGGCAGTGCAGTTAAAGGATCGTTATTAGGTCATTATTTTTATTACCATATAATTTTTCGTAGAAAACTTGACTCGTCGTTTGTTAAAATGTGCATAGCTTTCTAATAGTAAATGAGCTTCGAATGTTTCAGTGTTAGCAAGTAGACTAGTCGCACTGTAAAAAAGTGCAAAGCGAGTTGTCTTTGTACTGACGTTTGTTACTGACTCATTTTTACGCGGTAGGCTGCTCCAGCTTTGCTAGATCGTAGCAGGACCACACTCTCAGAGAATATCATCTGAATGCTGCTGTATTTCTTATTATGTGTGACAACTGAAAACCGGAGGGCTTTTTACTCAGGACATTAAATCTTACGATTCAGGGATCAAAAGTCATTTGACCAAATTATATGACATCGCATATGACCATGTCATATGACAACGCGTATAACCATGTCATATGACAACGTACCATTTCAATTCTTTACCGAGGATACATTTAGGTATCAATGGGCCATAGCATCACAGTTTAAAAACCGTAAACAGTACAGTTGGGAAATGAATGTACTTGTGTAGAGCAACAGTAGGGGTACTGCGGGACAGGGGCGGGCCAACCTTGTGCTATCGCACTTCACTGAATCTAATAGACAATACAAGCGGTTTTATTTTTGCGCCCGAAGCAAACAGGGCAACCCTCCGGTAACGGGGGAGGGAGGTGGAGAATTCTCATAGCATACCACCTACGAGCATTTAACCCTATAGAGAAGTAATACATGCGAATTTAAAAGAAAACCATTAGGGTTAAGTGCTCGTAGCATACCACACAGCCGGCTGCGTGGTTATGTGGAGACTTTTACCCACTAAACACTGCCTTTAGGGATCGGCTTACTGATCTGACGAGAGATCTTTAAGCCGTAAACGGACGCGACCCTCCTTGGCAGAAAGGAAGGCGCAATACAAGCGGTTGGCACGAGCGTGTTTTATAGTACTTATTTAACTAATATTAAGTGCCGATTTGGAAAAATATAATATCTAGTTTGATTGTTAGTCAAAAATTTGCTGATTCAATTGATGATTGAAATTTAATTCAAATGACGGCCATGCTTATATTTCCTTCGTTTTTTATTGATAAAATTGTTTATCCGAATGCGAATTACATAATAAAATATAACAATCGAAATATGAAAACTTCTATAAGAATAATTGACAGTGCAACATTTGTAAATGTGTTTTTCTTGTAGTAATAAAAATTATCTTGTTGAAACGTTTTTAACATATAAGAACCTATGTACATAATGTTAGCACAGAATAAATAATAGTACTACCTATGGAAGTTGCACTCCTTTGATGTCAACTGCTTGCCGACGTTTAATAGCCTACATAATTATTATTAATCAGATAAATCACGCACCCAAGCTAAATAAAACTTTATCGCTGCGCGTTAGTGTCCATATTACTTTGCATCTTTTCCGCTTCCTAAGTCACGGCGGACTTTCCGTGATTATTAAGGAATGGCAATAGAAAGTAAAAAAATACATTGCAAAATGTTAATTATGTTACTTAGGTGAAGTACCTATTCTGACTATGATCGACTGACCATACTTTCGCTCCTATGTAAGTTCTGCGATGCCTAACGCATGCGAATTGCAAAGTCATTCTTAGGAAATCACAACGCTTGGTTCGGAAGAAATAGGTAGATAGTGTAAACAACAAATAAACTTGAAATACGATTCCTAACAGAAATGTGATCTATTCTACTTACTTAAAAATCTTCTTAGTATACAAAGTTTTAATTTCAGTATTTTGTGTTATTATAACTTAAAATATTTTAATTACAAAATACAAGTATAGGTATGTATATACTTGGATAGTGAAGTAAATTTTAACAAATTTTTGTAATAAAGTACTTAGGTATTTCTTTTGTAGACCATATTATTACTTAATTTTTTTGCTCTAAGTACCTATCTTAACAAAAAAATTAAATAAATTCACCTTTTATAATTTCCTTCTAAAATTCTTCGGTAACTTAAAGAATGATAATATGAAACCTTTTGTTGGTCATTTCATTTAGTATCCATCCACGCAACAGTTATAGTAGGAACGACGTTTTGTTATTATAATTTATTAAATAGGTAATATACATAATATATAATTTTTAAAATACATTTAAACTTTTACAACTATTTTACTTACAATTAAATATACTAAACACTAAACAAAAACTATTTCAACAAGTATTTACATAAAACTATTTACGTAAAATAGCGTTAAAAAACTTTAACATTGAATCGCCTACAACGCGCTAGCCCCGACTGCGTATAACGCCCAGGACGCCTCGCGATTTTAGGTAATTATTTCACGCAGGTACAATACGGCCGACGTATCTTGGCGAGTCTGAATATAGGCTCTGCGAAGTTTAGCGCATGAACACTCGTGAAGAAAACTGTTATTGTCATTTTTTTATATATACCAATGTACAAATAAAATTTCCCTAATACAGTGACCAAAAATATCAAAACACTTTGGAGACATTATAAATTAAAGATTCAATTTTGATACCTCACCTTTCGATAGGGGCAGATTTTATCACAAACACATACAATATTATTTACATTTAATACTTTTTATTTATTTACACTTATTATTATTTAATCACTGTCGTTGAGGGGGGGAAATTCCTAACATAAAGTCGTCGGCCCCTTGTGTACCATGTGAGGTACTTGGCATAGGTTCATCTTCGTAATCGTCGCTCTCACTTTCAGACTCACTTTCTGAATCTGAAGCTGTATTAATGATGAATAATTGATCCGTCATTTCGTCAATAATATGGTCGCTCTTCCTATAGTCATGTTCGACCTCTTGCACTTTTCTGCATAAAGCACTCCATTCATTCTGACCCATTAAATTTACTTTTTCTTGTATGAGCTCCATTGTCCGGGTTACGTTCCAGTCGACGTTTTTAGCGGCTACGTGCCCTTTAATGGCAGCCCACACCATCTCGATGGGGTTTAAATCGGGATGATATGGGGGTAAACGAAGGACATCGTGGTTGTTTTGTTTAAACATTTCATCTATTACGTATTTTTTATTCACGTCTTTGTTTTTTTTTATTAGATCGTAAAGTTGTGGTTTACGCATGTCCTTTTCATATGGTATACCCTTTTCTAATAACCACGATTCCATTTTTGCCTTCTTGTCATTAGATGTAGGGGCAGGATCCATTAATTTGTTGTGGTACGGAGCATTATCGATAACCACCACCGAGTTAGGGCTCAAATTTGGAATCAGTTGGGTCCGTAACCATTTCTCATAATTTTTGAAATTCATGTCATCATGATAGTCTCCGGTTTTGCTGCCAGATTTGAACATTAGTAGCGCGTTCGGAACAAACCCTGCTTCTGACCCAGCGTGTACCATCACTATCCGCTGACCTTTTGATATCGGGCGCTTTAGTCCTTGAGCGGAACCATCTGACCACGCCTTACCTTTTGTATGTGATGAGTGGGCATACGACTCGTCAGTGAATACAATTGGTCGCCCTTCGTCCCTGTATTTTTTCATTGCCTTCAAGTACAAGATCCTTTTCAGGCGAATGTCGGTCTTCTCTATAAGAACCATTCTATTGGTTTCGGTCTTTCGCCACTTGAAACCCAAGTTTTTGATAATTGTCTTTAAGCTCGTTTTACCACCTTGAAAATTTATATCCCGTTTGAGTTTCGCTAGTAATTTGTTTATCGTCGGCATTTCTTTTTCAGTTTTGTGGAAGTTGTGTATGCATCTTTTTACTACTCCCTGGTCAAAATTATCCATATCAGTAATAGGTTTTGATCTAGACCTTTTTTTACCAGGCGTGCGGAATACTGAAAGTAAGCCCGAAATATTGCCTTCAGTTGCGATCCGCTGTACTATGCGTTGGGACACACCAGTTGCGTTAGCAACTCTTAAATAAACTTTATCGACATCTTTTACGCCTTCTTCTTTTTCTTTTTTCATATTTTGCGTTAAATCGTAAATAATTTTTCTCGCCTGGCGATTTAACACACTGTTATGTTTTGGTGGCATGTTTGGCGAATAATATAAGTGTTAACTGACACTTGCAAATAAAACAAATAAAACAAATAAAACAAACAAAACAAACTTAACACTATTAATAAAAACAAACAACAATAACAACGAAAACTTTTGTAACCGACTGTGCTCAAGACAGAGATAGCGACACGAACACGACACCAATGCTAACGTGTGACTGAGAAATATTACCGTGTACCGAGCATTGCCGAATAAGCACGAAGCTTTACGAAGTAACCAGAAAGGGATGTCCAACACGCGTGCCTGAGGGTGTTGTTTAATCGATTTTTATTCAAATCGATTAAAATTAAGACATAAAAATATATTTATTTGCAATTTATAAGGAGGTTCTAAATTTTCTCAAATAGTCGTTACTCAAGAAGACGTTAATAGATAATTGATATTTAAGTACATTATGTCTTTCAGCTGAGAAAATAATATGTTTTTAGTTTTTTTTTTTATTTAAGTCGAAATCTTGTTTATTATCAACAAAATTCACTATATTTGTAAATCTATTTCGTTTAATATCTTATATAAACAAAAATCAATAACTTCTAAATAAAACTAATCGATTGCGATATTTTATGACTAAAGGGTCGATTGTGTTTACTTATGGTCAATCTCTAGCCTAGACCACCGCCCCCCGTACGTCGCCTCATGCCACCATTTTGTTCCTTAAAAAAGCTATTGCGCAACCTTCTGCGCGAAGGTCGGACTCGCCAAGATACGTCGGCCGTATTGTAGCAAGAGTGACAGAGGCCTGATGTTAGTTACAACACGCTGCCGCGTAAATACCTACGCGTGCGCTGGCATCGCGGGACATCAAAGGTGTTTCACAACTGTAAAGTCTTAAAACTGTGACAGCATCCATATACCGCGATGAATGACCCCCATCTGTATATCAAAATCATTGTAAATCGACTTCAAGGCACGCGGATGCGGTCATAATTACTGTCGCATTGTTCCAGTACGACGGTTCGCTGGAAGTGTTGGTCCGCGAGTCTGAACAGCTGCGACGCACGTACGGACACTACTTCGACCTGACCATCGTGAACAACGACATCGACGACACGCTCGCACAGCTGGAGGCGGCCCTCGCGCGTCTCCGTTCCACGCCGCAGTGGGTGCCCGTCGCATGGGTCTACTGACCGAACGATTTCTACCTGTAAACGTTTGCAATCGACTTTATTTTTATGTACTTAAAGTTGAGTTTTGTTTGTTTAACTTAGGTTTGAACTTTAAATTTTGTTTGAGAGTTGATTTGACTGTTTGATATTACGTTTTCATGCTTAATTTGTTGATGCAGGGTTGATTGATGAGGTTTTTGTAGAGACTCGTGCGCCGCGGTTGGCGCATTTAACTCGAGTTTACTGAAGTAACTAATGCTACCTTAGTATGCAAATTCGACTTTATTACGTGTATTTAATGTTGAATTTCGTTTGTGACTTTATTTGAATCATATTTTTTTGGTGATACAATTTCAAATTTATTATGTTTCGGTAACCCGATGTGGGCGTGGCATACTTGACCCTGGGTCTACAGGCCAAAATACTTTTCACAACAAACGGTATTGTTCCTTGATAAGATTGTAATGTATCAGATAATATGGACATTTTTGTACGGTTACAACGCTTCACCTATATGCATTTGAAAATGCTAAGGCATGTTTTTTTCTATTATTGTTTTGTAGAAAATCTGTTTCTATTATTAGAATTTATTATATATTAGAATTTATTTATATATATATATATATAGAAATTAATCGCGTTTCTGTTGATCAAGTAACAAGTAGAGTAAAAAAATAAAAACGTTATGTTTTTGAAATAAGAATACTATGGTTTTTGAAGTAATTTGAGAATCATGATAGTAAACGAAGGTTATTGATTCACATATCATATGTAAGTGGACGAGGGATGAATGGAATAAGTTTATGCTGAAGTTTTAAAAAAAACTTATAGGAACAAATAAATGTTAATGTCACATTTGGTAAATTTCAGACTTGTAAAGAAGTCGTCGGGAACGCGATTTAACGTGTAATTTTTTTTTACTTTGGATTTTCTGTTATTTCTCTATTTTAATTATTGATGACTACGTACTATAAGCAAATTATTATTTTATGAAAAATACAAAATGGAAATCTGAAGCTCAAAATAATTTATTATTTACATAATAGGAAGTGTAAAAGTACTTCCATAAATTTCTATGTGGGTCGTAAGTCTTTTTCCTGGATTAAAATACATAAAACTTCTAATTATCATATTTTACTTAAAAAAATTCAACAAATCGTGTTTGTCATGTTTCTTGGATCACATATATTTATAATCCCGCACCTTTAGCATTTTCTTATAAAACATTCTTATAAATAGAACGGAGGAATGATTCGGTGTTAATCCCTGATCTTTTACCTGAGATGACGCCTCCGAATGGACAATATGGAACCTGTGGGTAACCCATTCTATAAACGAGGATTGAATTACTTTAAGCAGTGATATTTAAAATGTATTGATATGTACTACAATACATATAGCAAAAAAGTGGAGTTATTTGTCAGTATATTTCCATCTGATTAAAATTGTGTAAAATAAAGTAAGTGATAGCGCTTTACCACGTTCGCCTGCATCACCACTTACCATCAGATGGCATAGCAGCCAAGCACTGGCTTACAATAGTAAAAAAATACATTAATCTGAAAATGTAACTAAAGTTACTTAATTATTTGCTTATGACGGAAATCTCAAGTACCTATAAAAAAAATATATATAGGTCTATTTCTTAATAACGTTTTCTAAATAACGATAACATGGCGCATAACAAAGAATTTTAAGAGTTATAAACATCATTGGGCCAAAGTTTTATTTTATACATAAACAACTTTTGATTGGTCGATAGAATAGAAATTTTTATTGAATCGATATTTCTTTTGGAGTTAGCGAGAAAAAAATTTGCTTAGAAATAGAATGAAATTATATAGACATTTTTCTTATTAATTTTCTCTAAAATATTAAAAATTATTCAGAGCTGCTGCTAAATTAAAAATTTAAATAAAACCAGTTCATCGTCGATAATTAACCCAGTTATGAAGACAGAACCAAACTAGTTATGACGAAATATATGATGAAACTAAAATAACGTATCGATAACGTGTTAAACATTTAATAGTCACATAAATTGCAAATGAATTATTAGTTTTTAATAAACTATATTTCTTATTTAAACGTAGTACAATTTTCGAAAGACCGATATCACGTAACTTAAACCAACAGTAGTATTAGAATATTTATGTAGTCAATTGTGATAATATCCTTTTGTTTAGTTTTGTTTTGAAAAAGTAAGTACTGATAGTGAATTTTATAGCTTGCATTTTTTATTTGGTACAAAATCGCTCAATATAAATCTGTGCCAAAGATTGCTTGCGGAAGTTTTCCTAATACGATTATTAACATCACGTATCGAAACACATTTAAAATTTTGGAATCTTGTACATACATATACATTAGTAGATAATTTACAAAAAAATATTAATGTTATTCACTAGAGAGTACCGTAGGTCTTCTAAATTTAATGTTAAGATTTCTTCTATTTAGATTATACCTTAAATCTTTAATCCGTTTGATGACCTAAGAATCACAGATAGAAAAGAATTGCTAGTTTAATGTTTTATTTTGTTTGTTACAAAAGTTCTCTAGTCATATAAGTAATATCCTTAAAATTTTAAGATATCTACGATTTTGAGGATATCCCCAGTATGTCGAGATTTATTTTTACCTTACATATATTTTAAAGACATTTTTGAAATCCTTCTTGTTTGACACTCCCTTTCCCTAAACTTATATAATTATATTAAGAAAAACTAAAATCTTACATATATACCTTAATGAACATTTACATGTCTTGACAAAAGTAGTAAAAATAAAAAATAGACGTTTAAAATACCCAGCGTACCTACTCATAAATTACATTACTACTAAAAACTCTTATCTTCAAAGACTTTAAATTACAATTTAAGATATAAGAGTTGAGCTTTGTTTTATGGTAACCTATCAGTTTTGAGTGATCTGTGTTTCTTAGATTCATGACGGTTTATTGCATGAAGGTTGGAGAACAGGAGAACGATCACCGTAGAATATAGTGTCCAGAAATATGGACACCATAGGTGAGGCGCTGCGATCGCTCGAGGTTCGGTCAATAAAAGTCATTTTGAGTCTATTTTTCCGATCAGATGCTTAACCACTTGCACATCCACGCACAATTAAAATATTTTCCTACATTTTTTAATGTTTCTTTTTGTCAAAAGTTACAAAATTAGGGACATAAAATTTTCTCATTAAAAATGAAATGAAAATTTGTACATTATTTAACTAACTTCACTCACTCTACTTGTACTCATAAACAGCTAACTTCGCAGTCACTACTCACCGACGTCAGCGCCGCTATAAATTCTACAATTTTCAAGGACAGGCGGGCTATGCTTTAGTACGTTCTCCTGTTCTCTATCTAACCTTCATGGTTTATTGCATACTATTTGACAGGTTTAGAATTCACAGGGTTGCAAGGATCACTGTAGTGTTTTCCTCTTTATAGTTCATTTAACGATTCATGTAATTATTCGTATCTACGTATATTTGCCATGTAAAATGAAGTAAATTAGCATATTATATATTATATTTGGTGCCATTGAAGATAAAATTATACATTTAACTGAATATGTACCGTAATGTACTTCTGCCTATAAGGTAAACCGATGAAGATCATTAATTTAATCAAGTGTAACAAATTTTCAATGGAAAATTTTCGTTATTAATCGTCATATAATATTTCTGACAGTATTATTCCCTATCTCTTGTTCATATTTTCCATATTTCGACGAGGCGGCAAAAGTTATTATTTTATTTCCGTGCAAAAAGCAAGTTGCTTTAATATAGTAACCTAATAGATGTAGGTACTCATTTTCTGAATAAACAGTAAATAATGTAAAATTTTTTGACAATAACATAGTTAAGTTTGAGCTATTTTTGTGTATTTACTGCGATTTTACGAGAGATTATTAAGCAAAAACAGTAAAATTCTGAAAAAGTGTAAATTATAACACGCGCACCTTTTAGGTATATTTTTGTGCACATAGTTGTCGTAAAGCTGTCGCCTCTTTATTTAATTATTTATGCCTCTTAAAATGCATGCGCAATTGCATTCCTGTACAGATTTTAAAAAAAAGTAGTTGACTTTTAATATATGAATATCAATCACTATTTCAATGTAAGTACATGTAAAATTTAGAATAAGATTTTAAATAATTATTTTTCTTCTTTTTTAATTTTATCAATTTACTAAGTTGTAGTAATGTACCTATTCATTTTGATGAAAGTACATTTGCTCAAAAATAAAACTATAAATATTACACTTTAATATTCAATTTCATAACGAACCGTTATAAAGTTTTACTTGTTGATATATTTATAAATTTTAGATATATTTTTCTTGAAATTATTATAGTTAGTTGATTTATTTGTTCATGTTACTTTACTTTAGCAAAAAGCAATTTAAAAAATCAAATTATTAATAGAAATTTATTAAATATACCTAAAAATCTTTGATCGATACGTCTAAGTAGCAACACATTCGACTACCCAAAACGTCTATGCAATAATAACTCTGATTAGAAATTATATAGCAATACGAACCGAAGACCTTATCATCTAGGTAAGTTTCTATTTATAGGTAGATGTCGAACAATAAAAATCGAGCCCCTTAGAACAACTCCCAAATGGGAAATTTAATTTTCATGTTTGGGTCATTTTGAGAGTAAAATAATCTATTTAAATTACCTTACCTACATAATGGGGGCATTTTGCTAATTATATAATATGTTGCTAAATAAACGATTCGCTTTGTTGTTTGCTACTTGTACGTACTCGTACCTGCCCATTAATCGTGAACGTGAAACAAAATATTATTGTAAATAATTTTGATTTTTAAACTTCTTTTACTATTAATGACCATAGGTAAAATATTATATTATAGTTAATTTAATGGTAAAAGATCTTGAATTTAATTATTAGAATAGATTATTGGAATTTGTAATGGTGTGAAAGTAGCACTTTGATAATATATTTATAGCATATATTACATATGTCTATATTTAAATCTATTG